CTCTCTCTCTCTCTCTCTCTCTCTCTCTCTCTCTCTCTCTCTCTCTCTCTCTCTCTCTCTCTCTCTCTCTCTCTCTCTCTTCAGATTGTCTCCGAATACTGCCGAGGGCGGCGTCGGTCGCTGGCGCTCTCGTGCTCCCGGTTCGTGAGCGAGCTCTTCCTTCTCTCCCTCCCTCTCGTGGGCGCCCAGCACTTCCCGTCTCGACGCGCGTTTCGGACTCACTACGAGCCTTAGAGAAGGTTGAGCGCTAGTGCTGCTACCCCGTCCGCTAATTCTCTCTGTGCGCCTGTTCCCTTTGTGCGCTTCCCCCCTCCGACTCGTTAATATGAACTTGACAATGTCCTTATTATAGCATTTCTTCCTCTGCGGCCGCCCGCCTGTCGATCCTTCATTTTCTCCGATTAATGAATCATGCCATTCGCTACTAGTGTCTTCCCATCGAAAAATTTTCGTAAAATTGTTTTGATCTTCCCGCCATATTCGTTCTATAGTGATCCCTCTTTCGTGGCCCTTTCCAAGATTCAGTTGAGAATTTCCGCTTCCCGCCCGACGTGCATCCCGGTTCTTGAGTTGTCACATCTTTCCCGCTCTCGGTCCCAGGCGCGCGCTGCCTGAAGCTGTAGCCTTACTTGATCGATCCCCCTAGACGCACGCCCCCCCCTTCTTTCAGTCGGTCCCACCTCGCCCCTTCTCGTCCAATCTTCTCTCTAGTTTCGTTTCCTCGTCGGATCTTACCTGCAATGCAGCTTAATCATGTTGATGCTCTTCCTCGTACTCGCGAGCCCTTTTTCCACTCTTTCGGCTTCTTTCCCCATCCGAGGGTTGAGCCTGGAGCCAATGCCAGTTATCAAGAAGACAAGCGCGCTTTCCTCTCCCGTTTCGACCAACTCCCGGCTCCCTATATTCGCCCCGTCGTCGTTATGCCGAAGCAGCCCAGAATCGTCGGGGTTGCCAGCTCGCCACATAGTTTGGGTCGACGCCTGAGCACCACGCAGTCGCCTTCTGACTCCATCATACTCCACACTTCCCCCCGTTTTGCTCGGTGGGTTTTGTACGACCACCCTTCCAGCCAGGCCAATCGCCCTGGACTCGAAGATCCCAACAAAAATCCAATTTTTCCCCCGCCCGCACGTCCTTCGCTTGCAGCCGCTTTCTCCCCCCCCGTTGCATACGGGCGTCCGATGGTCAACGTGGGCCCAAGGAACCCCAAGAATCCCTCACAACCTGCAGTCGTATGCACTCATTCATCAGGGCTTGCAAAGGGAAACACACCGCCTGGTAGCGTAGCCGAAGACCCGTAATTCACGGGGACGATTTCCCCCTGTCCAAATCCGACTTGCCCCTTGCCCTAAGTTGGCGACCGCCATTGCTTCACCGTCACACTTGGCAGGACGTGGATAGACGCCGTAGTTCCTATGTTCACCATCCAGCCCTCTGGTTGTCGACCGGACAGATCATTTGCCACTGTCATCCCATGAAACACATCAGCATTCATTCTGAACGGAGACACACATCGACGGCCAATCATCTGGTGTGATCCACCACCTGGACTGCACCTCGTTTCGGTCCGGGTTGGACCCTTTTTCGTACCTTCTTTTGACCATGTTTTCATCCTTAGCCCCTAAGCCGGCCGTCCTATTTCGACGTATCGGAATCTTGGATTTTTTGTCCGCTCTCGGCCCCATTTTACGGTCCTGCGTAGATTCGCCTCCATCCCTGCTCTTTCAAGGGTTAGTAACAACAAAAAAAAGCCCAAGCTCCCCTCAGGTCTCAGGCGCCCATACATCCAAGTATGCAAAAATAAAAGAAAGCATGCCAAAATTTTCAGGCTCGACGAAAAAGGTGTGCTCGGCTGGTAGGCAGCCGCCCGACATCGACGATGGCAACAAAGTACTCCCTTTCGTGGACGATGTTGTACAGTGTTCTCCCCTCCCCCGTCGTCCAGAACGCTTTGTCATCAACCCACAGGCGGGCATGCTCGGCGAGATCTTTCGCCATCCCTCCCCTCCGAACCCGGCTTAAAAGGGGTTCCTCATCCGCCCTATCACCCTTGTTGTCGCCGAGTGGCACCTCCCACTCCACAACAGGGACCTCCTCTCTCGGTCTCGCCACAGCAGCAACAGTGCCCGAAGACCCAGCGGCTGCACCATCGACCGCCCCCCCACTTGCCATGCGCGCTTCTTGCTGGGCCCCCTCACCTCCGCCACGTTCCATGGAGCCTCCCTCTGCAGCCGTGTTGCACAGACGCGACCGAGATGGCGTGGATGGCAAGCCACCCTGAGATGGCCTTTCTTCAGTAGCGCCACGTATCTTGAGCGCCATTGTTGTGGTGCCTTGTGTGACATTGCGCTGCCTATAACTTTCGAAGGGGGCACGCACCACCGACCTGAGGGCTCGTCGTCCTCGCCGCCAACATCGACGACAACCTCCTTCGCCTTCGGGGTGTTGTGGGCACGCACTTATTGCGCTTCCGGAGGGGGCGTCGGCAATCTCCTCGCAGCATTCTGATCAGATGACCTTTGAAGAGTGGTTCCCCGAGGTGCTGACACGGTGTCCTCTGCTGCCTCTTCCTCCGTCGTAAACACGTCGTCGTCGTCCTCCTCGTTAGTTGTCGCCTAAGATCGCCCTCGCCGAAGAGGCAGGCTTGCTGATGCTTCTTCCGAACGAAGCCTCTTCGCCTTGGGGACATGTCGTCGATCCCTTTCCCGCCCCTGAGTGTCCACAGGGATGTTTTCCCACTTCTTGCCACGGGCGCAGCCACACGCAGACATGCTTGCCACTTCCTGCAATGGCCGTGTGTGACCATGCCTGCGTTCTCGAAGAGGAGGAACTACCGCCTTCGCTGTGCTGGGGAGCAAGGCGTGCAGGTGTACCGAAGCGCTTGGGCGACACCAGCGAGACTGTTGTGCCTCAATCGCCCACGTTCGCACCAAAGAAGAAGAAACGTCGTCGCCACACATATGAGGTTGAAGTGGACGTCAAAAGAAGATAAAGGGTATGAAAGATCTTTAGACATTCCCATATTAACCAAGCGGCCCCCTATGTGTCGACGAAACATGCAAGGGTATTGGTGGAAATTCCCAAAAACTTTCTCGCCAATACCCGCCAGATTGGCTCATCAGGGGGGAGATCTACCCTCAGTTATCACTCCGAAAGGGAATAAGTTATACATTGGGGGGAGATAGAAACGAATATTAGAACGGAAAAATGAAGAGTAAGAGTGATGGGGAGGTGAGGATGGAGGGAAGGGGGAAGGGGGAGGGGGGAGGGTTGGAGGGTACGATGATATCATTACCCCAGCCACTCATGTAACCGATGATGAGGAAACACTCATCGCAGATGCAAAGTAGATGTCAATCACTCCGGAGTAGATCTAAGCTCTAAGATATATGGTGGAGGGAGATGGCTTAGGAGGGAGAGGCAGAGAGAGAGAGATAGACAGACTTTCAATAGACTGGGGACATAAGCGATGGGGTGGCGTGCACCGGCGTAGCCTCCGAGTCTCCGACCGGACAATCGAAAGAGAGAGAGAGAGAGAGAGAGAGAGAGAGAGAGAGAGAGAGAAAGAGAGAAGCGAGTAGATGCTAGGCGAACCGCCGCAGGGGGAGAGAGATAGCGCGCATGCGCAACGGACACGCTCCTGGCCCGCAATCCCTCCGCCGGTAATGAACCACTTCAGAGGATTGAAGTCGTCATCCGCGGTGATTAAATAGAACGCTGGTTTGATGAAATCAAGAGGCGACTCCTTCGTGTTCCGCATGGAAATGCGTTGTCGCTGCCCTGCCCATTTTTTTAAATCCTAAGAGAGGCATATACGTTCTTTTTTTGTGCGTTGGCCCCAAGATAGGGGGGTGCGGGCCCCTCGGTTACCCCGGGGAACAAATCCATTTCATAGGAGACCGATATCCGTTTTTTACCAAGCCTACCCATTAAGAATAATAATAATAATAAGAGGGTTCCTCAAAACTATTTGATCGATGGGTATCAAAGGAATTTAAAAAGGACTATAGTCCCTTTTCCCATCCGTGGTCATGTAAAAAAAAACTGCTCTATTCTTTCCTTTTTTTTTCTTTTTTTTTTTTTCTTTCTACTTATTCTCTTTTTTTATATATTTTTTTCTTATTTATTTTTTTTATTTTTTATTTTTTTTTCCCTTCTCTTTTGTTTTTCATGAATATATATATATGTATATATGTTCCAAGTATATGTGTGTGTGTGTGTGTGTGTCACGGTGTGTGTGTGTGTGTGTGAGAGAGAGAGAGAGAGAGAGAGAGAGAGAGAGAGTCCTGCAGCATGCAACATTTCGGTGGCAGGGAGCACAAGGCAAGTTGTTAACCTAAGAAAAAAAAAAAAAGGTAATGTTCTATTCGCATACAACGTGCATACGCGGTCTATTTGAAGTGCCCTGCTATTCGAGAAAAGTGGACCCACTTTGAAATGTTCAGCTCAAGGACCATTGTCTGCTCAGCCTCCTACGGGTAGCTACGGCCTTCAAGTTCTACAAGCAACACCTACCCATTCCCCATGAATAGCCCCCCCCAGCAAATTCACCACCCTTCAACTACCATTTGGACCGGTACTGACAACTGGTATGACGAAGGACAAAAAAATTGACTCAGGGGTATAAAACGCAACCCTGACGGGCTGCCTGCCCTTTCCATCCTACCTGGGCCCAATGAGCCACCCCCCCCCCAAAAAATGCCCCCCAAACCGAAAATGTTCCTGATAATTGAATGTTGAACGAACGTGAAGGCTTCCCCTGACGAGGGATCACTGGCCAGGTTCAAAAGTAGATCCTTCCTGGCCCCAGTGGTTCGTGCCACACACCCCCCAACCCTAAACCAAAAATGCCCCCCAAACCAAAAATGCCCCTAAGCGAACGTTGAAACCTTCCACGTGAATAAAATGCAATCCTGACGGGCTGCCAACATACCCTTCCAACTACGACCCCCAACATACCCTTCCAACTACGGTAGCACCAAACTACTAGAACTGACGCGCTGCCAACATACCTTTCCAACTTCGACCCTTCCAATTACGGGTAGCACCAAACAACTAGAATTTGAGTCAGGGGTATAAAAGACACCCCTGACCGGCTGCGAACGCCCAACAATAAGGGGTGGACCCCACTGGCCGGCGGCTGGAAACTGGTGTTGGCCACAAAAAAACGGCCGACCGTGGTTGGAAAAAACTTGACACATTTTGAAGGGACCCCACTGCAGACCGACAGTTTCAGCACTAGAAAAGGCATGGCATACCCGAATAGGAAACCGCATAAGGGTGTTTCCCGAAAAGGCAAGTCGGGCGGGTGTTGTGGACCATAGCCTGATACTGCACTATTCTAGGACATGTCCGTGTGTGGCCATGCACGACCCGGTGTGGCGGGTTCCGCACAAGTGTCGTGCGTTGCTGTGTGGCCCGAGCGGGTCCGCTCAGGCAACGGGAAATTACCGTTGGGGGCATGGGTGGATGTCCCTCCCTGTCGTTGGTGGGAGGTGCCGTCCGAACCATTGGTAGCCAGAGTGCACTGAGCACAGGAGCACTGACGGGGAGCCATCGCCGAGGACGAAGGGGGACGGTTTGGTGAGTCGCACGGGTTCATGAAGGTTTTGAGGTCGACAGGGCCAGAACAGGCGGTGTAGAGGGGTTGACGACGTCGCCATCACCGTAACGGAATCGCCATGGATCCATCGAATTTCAAACGGTGCGCCGCGACGTTCATGAATTTGGGGGACCATGGACTCCACAGACCGGCGGGCCCTTGGGAATATGGTGCGACACCACGGGAAAATACGAATGTCCGCCACGGCCTCCGGGTACACAGAACGGTCGACGGCGAGGGTGCATGGTCCACGTTGTAAAGCCTGCGTTTGGAAAGTGATGGATATGCCCCCCCCCTCTACTCAACTGGCCGCAACTGGCCGCCTCCTTGGAAAGGGGTTTGGAACCCGTCGGCGTCGAATTTCCAGACCGCGGACCATGTAGAAATGCCCCGTCACCATTTCCGCAACCTCTTTCCAAGCGTAGTGGGGTCTGGAATTCCTTTCCCGGTCGGCTTTCCACACGGTTTCCAGACCCAATGGGGTCTGGAAAACACCTCCGCGCCCAAACTTTTCAAGGCCGCCGCCCAGTGGAATTCCAGACCCCACTGTGCTTGGAAAGAGGTTGCGGAAATGGTGATGGGGCGTTTCTACATGGTCCGCGGTCTGGAAATTCGACGCCGACGGGTTTCCAGACCCCTTTCCAAGGAGGCGGTCAGTTGCGGCCAGTTGAGCAGAGGTGGGGGGCATGTCCATCAGTTTCCAGACGCAAGCTTCATTGACTTACCGTGAGGGCACGGGTGCACAGCCCGTAGTTCGTTTGTTGAAGTGGCTCAGGAAGGGTAAGGTAATGATTATGTTGTATGTATGTTTTGTTGTGTTCGATATACACAACTCGAAGAGAGTGTGTGTGGGGTCCCGGTTGGTGCTTTATTCACGATGTTCATGGGACGCTGGACCCAGTTTTCAGCAGGTGGCGCTCCCCATCAATAGACAGGAGAATGTGTGTGCATGTGTATATGAGTGTGAGTTTGAGTGTGTGTGTGTCACGGTGTATAAGAGTGTGTGTGTGTGTGTATGTGTGTGTGTGTGTGTGTGTGTGTGTGTGTGTGTGTGTGTGTGTGTGTGTGTGTGTGTGTGTGTGTGTGTGTG